CCCATTCGCGGTGGCAGTGACTTCGAAAACCTTTTCCGAACCACAAATCATGGTTAGCCTCTAACAAGACGCCATGACCACCCACATTGAATAGAGTTAGAGGTGATCTAACGTAGGTAGTAACAACTCGAGTTCTGATCCTTTGTCTCACGATATCATATGTTGAACAAAGGCATGGTTCGGACCACCCTTCAAGTTCAATCGCTTTCTCGTTTTACCAAATCGACTGATATAATAGATGCAACTTCATCTATAGCATGACCACATATTTTAACAGTCCGACTTTCACGAGAGGGTCACCCTTCAAGTTCAACCACTTTCTCATTTTGTCTAATCGACTGATATAATAGATGCAACTTCATCTATAGTGTGGCCACACATTTTCACAGTCCGACTTTCACGAGAGGACCCAACGATATCTCTCTCGTTAAGGAGGTGACAAGTCTCGTATCGCATGTTTAATATCTCCATATGATTTGTGAACGTATCTGAACAACGCCGTTATAATCATCCGGTTAAAGGCGACGTTGTACGCAATCAAGATACGCCACCCTTTATATCAAATACTCTAGATATCTCAGGTCTGAGGATCTAAGAACGAAACGTTATATGAGATTCAAGTCATGACTCTGTCCATGTGACAATGTCATGCGGGACATCCAGTCACTCGTTCCCAACGAGTACCTATGATTGTGATATGCATCCAATACATCAATCACACCTTATGCTAGTCTTTATTCATTATTATTTCCACAATAATAACTGGGCAGAGAGTTTAGAATCATTTTGTAATGATTCAAAGATACTAATATATAACGATCATGCAAATTATATAAAGGAAAAGTAATACATTCATAAAACAAATGAATCAATACAACCAACAATATATATATCAATACATATATATACATACACATATACATATATATACATATATACATACATGTGAATACATAAATATATAAAATATGTGTATATATAAATTTATGTATATATGTATGCGTATGCGTATATATGTATATATGTATGTATTTATATGTAGATGTAAACATCTCGATTGAAATCAATCAAAGTATTAATTTGGACCAACTTTTTTTAAAAAAAAAATGGACCAACTTTGATATCCATTAACACCAATATATAATTTGTACTTAAAATGTCATATGTTCGTCAATTCGTACATTGCATGCAATAATTTTAGTTTATAGTTTAATTAGTTGGCTTAAATAATATAAAAAATAAATACGCCATATATTTAAACTAATTATATTTCAAGGAATTTTCAGTAAATTCGTTACTTGATTTCAAATTCTACAGACACTGCTTGTTTTTGTTCTTGCAGACATCGATCAAGTTATTGATTCTTGTTGGGATTCAATTTCTACGGACATTCCTTTCGTTTAAAGAGCGAATTTTGGTTTGGGCATCATTCACCATTTCTTGTTCTTGGAACATCATGTTCTTCATAGTTTTGTACGGTAATTTACGATTCTTGTTATTAATTTATGAGTTTTCTTGTTATGAATTTTGTTTTTGCTTGTTTTGATCGGATATGTTTCCGAGAAGATTAGCAAATCGGCGTCTGACGGCCATTATTAACTCCGACGGAGGTGATCTGCAATGTTTGGAGGGTGAGAATTGGGAGCAAGCGGTTGGATTGGAAGGGAATAATGTAAATTTGTTGGAAACGAGTGCAGTTGGACCAAAGTGAATGAATGAAACCAAACACCAATAGACACAATAGACACAGTACTATGAAGATGTTCTTGTCTGATCATCTAGTCACCTTGTTTTGCAAGATAATCCCGATTCTTTCCCGGGAACTAGAGAAGGAAATCTTGACTCGAGTGCCCCTACGGACGTTGGGACGCATCAATGTGGGGTGCAAGAGATAGAAAGATATCATAGAGGGCAGGGATTTCTTCAGTGAGCACTTCGCTTTGTTATGGACACGTTTGGTTCCACCTTGCTTGATCTTCTACCCGTCGTTTAGATGGGCATTGACTGCTAAATGGATTTTTGTAGCAATATCTTCTCTCAATCATCTCTATTATTTTGTTAACATAACACAACACACTCAACTGTAACAGAAACGACCCATTGGCAACATATGAGGGCAGACTCAAACATGCGGTTGATTGTGACGGGTTGTTTTTGATGCGGTTATGAAATGTTGTATTTATCTTATATTTAATCAACGAATGAATTGTAACAAAAAGATGTTGAAACAAACATCATGCCAAACATATTATAAAATTAAACTAATGAATAATGAATTTTGTAAAAATAAATACTTAAGTATAAACACTATCCATATCAATCTTATGATGGACTTTATTTATACTTTCAACAAACTTTTTCTATATTTTTCGGTATACTTACAAGATTTGAGATTTGGTTGTTTGATAAAACAAATTGGTGTTCTTAACGATTTATATCTTATTGTCAGTTGAAGTTTACTTCATAATACAACACATATCACTTTTTTAGGTCCGTATGGATAGATTTTTATAATTTTGAAATTCGTCGATATTGGTTTATAACTTTTGAAAATGATAATTTTGCATTTTTGTTTTGGACAATACAAAAAGTCGAAAACTTGTATAACATATACGATATTATAAACAAAAATTTAGCCCCTCAAGTAAACGTCTTGAACTTAATGTAAACGTTAATAAATTGTCTATCTATTATCAAAATTAAGTATTTTTATGCAATGAATGCATCATAACAAAAAAAAATGATGAAACAAACATAATTCTAAACATATTGTAAAATTAAATAATGAACAATGAAGCTTGTAAGGAAACAAATATTTGAGCATGACACTTTTGGTGCATTTTTTGTATGCTTATCCATCTCTTTTACTATCATTTGGAACTTTTTGTCAAATGATTTCATAATGATCGCACTGAGGACACACTTCATGCATAAGGACCATTTCGACTTAGAACGCTGCACTTTTAATTCAATCATTGGATATAAGTGATGGTTTTTAGAAAAACTGAGTTTGTTAACATTGGTAAGAGAATAGAAGAACAACACACGCTTTCTATTAAACATATCAACAACCAGGTAAAACAAAGAAAAACCATAATTTTTTATTTGAAATTATATATTGTAACTCAGTTAATAGATTCACACAAGAGTCATGAAACCTAGATTATCTCTAACTAAGGGTAAAAAAATGATGAATGAAAAAAGCTATTCTATGTAAAGGTATGACCAAAAACCTATCTTCTCTTCTTTATGATCTCTTGATAGATAGTCTGAACTTATAAAAGTGAAAGAAATGTCTATAGAATTTGAAATCCACGAAGACGCAACGAGTTTACTAATCAAAAACCATAAAAAACTTGGTCGGTGTTCCTCTATCCTCTGTAAGAATAAGAACACGGTGAAGCTCCGATGGATGATCACACCGATGACATACTTTATGCATAAGAACCATTTAGATCTAGGACGCTACGTTTTTAGTTCAATCATTTGATATAATTGGTGTTTTTTAGAAAAAAAAAAGAGTTTGTTAACATTGGTAAGAGAATAAAAGAACAATACACATTATCTGTTCAGCACATCACCAACCAAGTAAAACAAGGAGAAAACGGAATTTTTTACTTGAAATTTTATATTGTAACTCGGTTAATAAATTCACACAAGAGACATGAAACCTAGATTAATTCTAACTAAGGTTCAAAAGGTGACGAATTGAAAAGGCTATTCTATATAAAGGTAAGAGTTAAAAGCATATCTCCTCCTCTTTATGATCTCTCACTCGATATCTTGAACTTATAAAATCAGAAGAAATGTCTATAGAATTCGAAATCCACGGAGACGCAACGAGTTTACTAATCAAGAACCATAAAAAATCTGATTGGTATTCCTCTATCCTCTGTAAGAATAAGAACACAGTGAAACTCCGATGGATGTTATTCTGTAAGAACAAGAACACGATCCTTCTTTATTTGTCGCAAAAGGAATATGTAGAATTTGAAATCCACGAAGAAGCAACGAGTTTACTAAAAAATCATTTAAACATAATTAGTTTAAATATATAACATATTTATTTTTTGTATTATTTAAATTAACTAATTAAACATTATAACTAAAATTATTGCATTCAACATACGAATTGGCAACATATGACATTTTAAGTACAAATTGTATATTGGTGTCAATGGATATCAAAGTTGGTCCAAATTAATACTTTGATTGATTTTAATCAAGATGTTTATATATATATATATATAAACATTTTGAAATTTAGATTTAATTTATGGTTTTGACATTGGGAGAGTTGAAAGGTTGTATCCAAAATGGTACAAGACCAAGTGATTATAAATATTTCAAAAACAATTGCATAATGCATGCCGCCGTTTTATCCATTACACTTTTCACAAATATAAAATAATTTGCTATTTTTCTTTCGGCATGAATATAAAACACCATATATACTCACACGTGGTAAGTTCATTTAACACCAGATTAAATCATTTAGCGATCCAGAATCAATACACATTCGGAATCTAAACATTTACTTGTTTTTACTAAAAAAAAATGCATCAACTTTCACTATAACTGTATATTAAAAAAAACAAAGATATATGTAAGGGATAGATCACGAAGGTACCAATTTTTGTAATCTTTGGGTATCATATGTCATCTAATAAAATCAATATTACCTCAGATTTTTTATTTATTATGTTATTACTTTTTTTGTAAACTTATTATATTATTACTCGATTATATATATGTGTTTTTTTATAAAACATTGGGTGACTAAGAAAATCATGTTCAAACTCGTAATGAGGCTTTGTTCAACGGATATACAGAACTTTTTTTTTGGTTTTCCGGATATACAAAACTTTACTTATTTCCATTGATTCAAGGTGTAATTAAAACTAATTTCTCTTTTTTGTCACCAAAATGATAAAAATTATTATTCATCTCATTAACAAAGCGTAATTCCTTATTTTAGTATAGTTTATAATAAACTGGAATTAGTGGTCGAATAACACCTATCTTCATTGAATTTCCAAAATAACAACAATTTTCAATCGAATAAAACCCTCGTTACAAAATATAACCACTTCTTCCTTTTCTCCCCTTCACATATTGAACTGTGTCTTAGAATCTGTCCACAACAATCAAACAAACGTCTGTTGTCTGAATGTCTTCAAGAGTACTCTCTTACAAGAGCTCGGCCTCTTCGGTGTCTCCATCAGCATCTTCAACGTCATTCTCTTCGTTCTCATCCGGTGCATCTGGGTCTATTCCCTGCAACCAAATCACCAGATTTCATCCATCAATGGATTAAGATTCGATCATACTACACGAGAGTCATTTCATAGATCACAATAAAAGCAATGTTTTCGCATAGAATCTATGTTTTCATTTCCGGGTTTGCATATCGAGAATCAGATGAGAAGAGGAAAATAAGAATGCCGATTTCTACGAGTTGGGGACTTGCTAACCTTCATCTGTTTCTCCAGGCGATCTAAACCCTTTTTGGCAGCCTCATTCTGCGGATTTATTCTGCATCGATGTCCAATATCAGTAATGGCAACCATTCAAATTAGTTTTCTGTCCAGAAACTAAGAGAAAAAAAGGGTGATGTAGAGGTAATATAGCTCACCTTAATGCAGCTTGATAGTGTGATAAAGAATCTTGGAGCATATTAGTGGCAGCAAACACTTGAGCCAACTTGACATGTAGAGAATCATCAGCCCAGTCTTTGAGATATCGTTCGAGTAATGATACAGCATCTCCATTCCTCCCCTCGATGAGATGAAGCTCAGCCAAAGCTAAGGCAGCTCCAAGGTAGCCAGGTTCGAGCCTCAGAGCTGACTCGTAAAACTTCTTTGCCTGTCATACAAATTTTAGAAAACTTAAACTTGAATGTTTCATATTATAACAGAAACAAAGAGGTTTTTGTGATGTGGTATTATTAGCTAAAACCCTGGAAAGATAAATTCATCTAAAACCTTTTTCACTTTTGGTGTGGTGTTACATGTTGATGATTATTAAGCATTCAATCCAATCATCACCATCACAACAATATTCAGAATAGTCCTGAATACTAACTGATTTATGGAAAATATGAGGCTTTAGGCAGACAAGGAACCCAACTAACAGAGATTGTTTTTAAGAATGCAAAAAGCTTTTTAATCAAATCAATTATTCTTCATACTTGTAAAGGGTAGTCATTAAATATGCGGTGCGATAAAATTGGTAGATTTTTATCAAAGCACACTGAAACTGGTTTTTTACCTTTTCTCTGCCACCGGATGTACTAGCATGGACGTCCCCTACTAATTTCAGAGCCTTTGCAGACTGGGGCATTCCATTCATTGCTTCTCTGGCAGCATACAGGGCCTCTTTGGTTTTACCAAATGCCAGATACGAATGGACTAAGCCTGAAATCAGCATCACAGTATAAAGCCTGGAATCAATGAGAAGTGTGGCACTGGAAAAGTGGAAGACCATATCATAGTCATCTACTTGTGAATCAGACCTTGATACGAGCGAAGATCAGACCTCAAATTCTGAGCTGCCCTGAAGGCGATTGCAGCAGCCTCTGGTCGTTTAGCTGATAAAAGGAGGTTGCCCTGAAATATACAAAACAGAATCAGCGGATACTGCACTTAAGATGGCTAGAAAGAGAAGGTTATTTCATCCTCACGATCAGTTTACCTTCATTACGTAGCCCAGTATGTGTCGTTCATCCACTCTGATGCTCTGATTGCAAACTGAATGGCATCAGATAATACATATAAACTGAAAGCAAGAAGTTTCGTTTTCAGAAAGCTAACCTTCTCTGCATAAGATAGTGCAGTCCTTGCATCTTTCCTTTCCCATAGTACAGACAGTGCAACAAATACTTCTGGTCTAGTATGGTCAATACTTAACAAATCATGCACCAATTTGTTTAGCCTTGAATAATCAGACTTCATCTGTAGCAGCATGGCATACTCATCCATGTAAGTCAATGTGTAAGGATCAACTGATCGAACCTGCAAAATATTTTGGATTTAGTACCCTTATTTGTCATGGACATTACCAGATTTGAAAGAGTAAACTACCTTCTCAAATCTCAAAATGGCTTCATCATTTTTCCCAATGATGGCCTCAACCTATACAAATGATCGAATAGTTCAGCCAAACAACACAAAAGCAATTCAATCCACTTTAGTTGGACCATCTCTCATCATTTTGCAATAATAAGAAGAAAAACTAAGTTCTCATTGTCATCCCAAACCTTTGCAATCTCAAGCAACAAGTGAACATTATTTGGAAAACGTTGTAAAAGCTCAGCAAAGAGCTCCAAAGCCCCTGGAAAGGCATTATAGAAAAAGTTAATCTCCAACCCATAAGGTGCATGACATTAATCATCATGTGCTACATTTGCAGAAAAATAAATATAAAGATGAAACATCGAAAGTCACAAGATTTCATGGCACATTCCTTAATTAACATGATGGTCCAAAAGTTATATCTCTTGCAAGATAGGCATGAACGTAGTAGTTACCAAAAAAAAAAAAAGAATTCCACCTTTGTATGCATTTGAAGCAACACAACACTGGGCCTCAACATAACGCTGCAATAAAGAAAAAAATTACCAAAAAGAATAAGAACGGAAAATTCGGCTGCACTATATGCAAAAAACACACAACCAACAGAGAGATGAAATAATAAAATAAGTATTCAAGAAAGATTATTGAGAACTAGGTTCTGTATGAAAAAAAATCAAGCTCTTGATAATTTAACCATGCCAGAGCTAGTTCTTTTCATGTACTAGCAAGACCATAACACTCGCTTCCAGTTCAGATGGATTCTATTCTGATAAGAAATTGGATAAATTCTTACTATATTGAACACCACACACCCTCCAGACATTCAACATAATGTGGCATGCCTTACTTCAAAGCTGACAATTGATAGTAAATCTTTCTACCAGTATATAGCATGCTAACTTGTTACGTAGATTCCCAAGATTGCAATAAATAGAACACCAGACACCCCCCAGACACAAAAATCAGTAAATCCAACATTTCAAATAACATCTCAAACAGTACAGAGGAGTTTACTTACTTGCAACCAACGCGTAGGATCAATCTGATCAAGCGAAACCTTCCCACTTCTGTTTGGAGTCTAGAATAAATAAACATCATACCAAAAATCATAATAAATAACTACATGGTAGAACGACTGTTGCATGGCAAAGGAAGATTATGAAACAGAGGAAAGCACACAAGTTGACATGCAATTGAAAACATAATTGCAGTAAGCAAATGGAAAATAAGAGTACTGGGGAGTGACCAACTTTGAAGATATCTGATAGAAATAATACCTGAGCAAGAGAAGATACGATGTCCTTTGCAGTGACTCCAAGCTCCGCTAAAGCTACAATGGCCTCAAGCACATAAGGACACTGCCTGCAGTGATAGCTCACATTTTCAGTCAACGAAATAAAAAAAAGTTAACACTGGCACACACAAATTGGATAGTGGAATTGCACACTGACACAAATGAGAGCATGAAATACCATATGTGAATGATAAAAATAAATTGCACTCAGCTACTGGCTTAAGTGCTTTTACGGACATTTCTTTTCCCTCTATCAAATTTAATTTGTATGTTCTGGTTTCATAGGGACACTTTGAGAAGCCATGGCCAAAAGCATGTACGATGAAAGAAGTCATGTATAAAATGAGAAACAAAGACACTGTTTACGTACTAGAAGATTTGGAGAAGATGGGATAAAAAACAAACCTTAAACATTCTTTATAAAAAGCAATAGCCCCACGGTTATATCCAGAATTTCGATGAAGTTTTGCCATCAGTAAATTCATCTCCAAGTTCCTTGTCTTGATAGATTCCATCTGCCAAATAAAGAGAAATAAGCACAATCAAGAATTGCAAATGAATCAGAAAATGCAAATGCCTTATAGTTCCAGTTCCACACGCACAGTTGTCCTCCCACAAACAGCTGTGAAATAAACGCCATTTGGTTATAATAATCTGAAGCCCTCAAACGCATACTTTTTTTTTCATATTATCACCACATGTCCACCGAAAATTCGTCTTCTGGTGTACCAATTTTCATAGACCAACCAAGCCCAAGAGCCATAAACATTTCAAAACAAAAAAAAATATGCAAGCAATAGTATGCCATTGCCATAGAAGAAGGTGAAAGCCTTACCTCAGCAATAGCAGCTTTTGTTTCACTAAGCGCAAAATGGGATGAAGCAATTTTGAATCGCACCTAGAACAAAAGTTATACAAAACAACATGCGTGAATAACTGAATATCATATCAATATAAAATAAGTCAAACTACTGCCTTCAATCAAAACTGAAAACATGGAACTACCTCATTTTCGTTGATTGAAGGAACGCCAGAAGAACTCAGAGAAGCTCTGCTCGATAAAGACAATGAGCTCCTAGAACTACTGGAGTTTTGCCTCGGAATTCTCGTATAATGATGCAGAGCTTGCTTGTATGTGTGCTGTCCGAAGAAAGAAAGAGGTATATGTGTATTATGATTTCAAGTTGAAAACTTGCCCACAATGTCAGCATTTTCTCCACAATTAAGTAATAAACAACATGATACTAATAATGTTTCTCCATTCGCAAAACAAATAGCAGAGACATACTTATCTGAAAACACAGAAAAACATTGAATATTGTAACATCTCGGTTGTGATTGGCATCCAATACATAACATAGAGGGGGACTAAAACTTCCAGGAATTCGGGTTTCAGTACTCATCAGAAGATAACTATAAAATTTGAGAGATTAAAACCTTTACTGAACTGAAAACATAAAAGATAAGAACAAGTGGTAAGATGGTCTTACAATGGCTCTTCGGTATTCTCTCTGACGAAATAAAGCATCGCCTAGCAAAATCTGCTCAACAAAACAAAAAGGAACTAAACTTATTGCAGTAAGAAAAATCAAACAGAAGGGTGTAAGAAGGAAAACCCACAGAGAATCTCACGAATCAACAAAACCCAGAACAAGAATCTCACGAATTCAGCAACCATTTTCCTTTCGGGAAAAGAAAATCAGAGGAGAGAGAAGCTGACCAAATTCTCAGCCTTGAGATGAGCGCTAGTTTCGGCACTAACAGTAGAAGATGACACCAGAAAGCAGCCCTAAATTAGAAGAAGACGAAGCCACGAGAAAAGGGTCACATCATCTGATCAGTCTCTGATGGAGAAAGGTGAAATTAGGGCATATGAGGTACAGAATCAGAGGAAGAAAGCTTGATAACTCACGAGCATTTCAGCGGAATTGTAAAGCCCATGCTCCATTAGAGTCGCCATCTGGTCCTTTGGAATCTCCATTTCAGGGACTGAGAGAGAGCTCGTAGCTAAAGGACGATGGGGGGCTCTTCGGTGAAGTGGAAATCGTTGAACAACAACAAACCCGCTCTGCAATTTGAAACGGGACACTATACCGGATACAATAACCGATCCAAGCCATACCGGAATTCACTAAACCGACAAGTTTAATTTGTTAAATAACCGAACCGGCTCATGAGCCGATTTTACAAGCCAACGAGAATACAAAAACACGAACTCGATCCTCCAAACTTTCACCATCGGCGGCCATGGCGGATCCGTCACCGCCTTCTTCTTCGTCGTTCGCCGGGAAGCAATCTCGTCGTGTGAACTCTGAGATTTCAGAGAGATTAATTTTCGCTGCGGTGCAGGGAAAATCGTGTCCGGTGTGCTTGGAAAACCTAGCTGATCGTCGAGTCGCCGTTATCACGGCGTGCAAGCACGCCTACTGCTCCGGTTGCATCCGACGTTGGAGCTCCGTCAAGAGGAACTGCCCCCTCTGCAACAGTCACTTCGATTCGTGGCTTTATGTGATCGATTTGGGCTCCGGAAAGTTCCTCAAGGAAGAGCTACCGCCTCTCTCGGAGCGTAAAACCGTAAATTTCCGTCGTCGGCGGAGCTCCGGTGGTCACCGGAGGTCAGTGTTCTGAGTCTGTTGTTTTCATTAAGAAGAAACATGCAGAAAATTGCCCTCAATCGTCTCTCTCTCTATGCTTACCTAGATTGCGACACCAACTATGAAGTTTTCCGCAATTGTGTTGATATGTGTCCTGATTATAAAATTCTTTGCTTCTGGGTTTTTTTTCTCTGATCTATTAGGTTAATTCAAATTTCAAGGCAAGGTTTTGACAACTCTGGTTCAAGATCAAGGCCATTGCCATGGCGGCGGTCATTTGGAAGGCCAGGATCAGTTCCTGATCATGTCATCCACGAGAGAAAGCTTCAGTGGCGTGCCAGGTTGCTTGACAGTTGGACCTATCTACCTTTCTGTTGATTTCCTATCTCTTCATGGAATCCAGAAATCTAACATCTTCCCTTAACTATGATTGGCATAATGCAGTATATACGAAAGGAATTTGCGAGCTACTCTGGCATCTACAAGGAAAAGCTTCGAACAGGTACATTCGGTAACACTACAGTTTGTGGATTGTATCGTTGTAAATGCGAGGTAGAAGAGTTTCCTTTCAGCTCAAGCAACTCCCATTTCGAATACTGGTTTTGTTGAATATTGGAAGAACCTGCAGCCTTATGATATCTGCATGGAGTTGTAGTTTAGGTACCTCATGGATGGTCTATTATGGGTTTCTTTCTCCTACTATTTGCTTTTTCTTCTTCTTTTAAAATCTCTGTACATGGCAGAGAATCCGGTGGAATGATCAGACGAAAGCAATGATACTACAAAAGATCGAGCCTTGGATTAGAAGGGAGCTGCAGGTAGTGCTTCGAGATCCTGATCCATCCATCGTTGTCCATGTTGCTTCATCCCTTTTCATTGAGAGCCTCGAGAGAAAGCATGATCAGTATTCTGGGCAAACAGGAATGCCGGTTGATGAATTATCCTCACTGCGAAAATTCTTGCACGATAAGGTGGAGATCTTTTGGCATGAACTAGGGTAAGTTCACCCATCCAGGCTCTTAGCATGCTGCGTAATTTCGGATATACATGTACTCAAACCTTGTAAGACCATAGGAGTTTTCCAAATTTCACATGACAGTTGCCATTGCTGTGGTACCATTTGATTATCTGACTCGATGTTAAAACAACATATGAATTTGCAGATGTTTTGCGGAGAGCACTCTTAACCTGGAGACATACGACACAGTTGTCGAATACATCCGAATAGACGGGACACAAGAAAGCGCAGCGTCGGATGAATGTATCTTCTGAATTTGGACAAACTTCGTGTTTTAACGGATACTTTTTCTGTATATTACACGAAATCCATGTCTCTTGAAATTTAATTTGTGAGAATTTGACAGCAAATGGGTCTTTTTTTTATTTTCTGAATTGTTTCCAACAGGATTGCAAACAAATTTCCAGATGTTATGCTGCCAAGGGCAACGTGTGACAATACAGGTCTTGTTATAAATGAAAATTACAAATTTCAATATCTTCGGTAACCGTCTTCTTATAGTAAAAAATTATAAAACAGATGCAAGAGAAACGAAACCAAAAACTGCAATTCTAACTGCGTCGGGGTTTTGTGGGAATCTCCTTGTGAATAGTAGTAATGCCTCCACCGTCAATTTCATCCAAGGCAGCCATTTTATCAAATCCACATTTTCGTGACAAAGGAAGCAACAGAGATCTAAAATGGTTCTATTTCTATATGGATATACGCCTTATTACACCTTCAACATATATCATTAGAACATTAGCTTCCGTTGCCCAAAAAAATATACGCATGAGTTGCCCAGAGAAACTGTTAAGCTATCCAATGATCTCCCACGCCCCAAATAGCTAAATTCTCATTAACACACTTACTGCTTGTTTGATTTGAAAACCGAGAATCGAGAAGCAAATCACCTAAGTAGGTCTTGTCACTTGCCTCCTGGGTCGAAAAGGCTCCACATAAACAGCCGCCATCTCTGCAGAGGCCAAAACACACGCACACAGACACAAAAAAAAACATTTCAACAAATCACAAACACTGAGTATACAAATAATTCTAAACTTGGTCAACATCAAAACTAGGCTTATAACAGTCTCAGATATGATGACACGCACTAATATGCTTGTATCTTTTCCCAGAAAAGAGTCTAGCTCGTATCAAAAGAGACAGACCACAGGTCGCATAAATGGTTAGACATGGAAGTGAATCTTGTAATAACGAAAGAAATAACTACATCAATCATGATGGTGCAAGACATATCGGTTGAGCTAACGACAAAATATAACAATATGATTCGGATTAACAAGTATATAAGTATATTTAGGGGTGACGAAGTCATCTACCTTCATCAGTTGGTCAAAGCCTGAATATCTTAACCTCGATGTCGTCGGTAACACTTCTCCACACTTTCGTTTGATAACGCTTCAGCTCTGGGTTAGGAAGGGGCAGATCTTTCCCCCAAAACGATATTAAAACACAAAACCATTGCACGGAATCAGATTGACATCCACAATCTCATGAAGCACCACATTTGTTCCCTGAAAAAAAAAGCATAAAGAACATAAACAACAACAACGACCCGAGATCCAAATGAAACATACGTGTTAAGATCTCAAACACTGAATCCTGACCTCTTCTTGGTTCTCTTCGTCGATGGCATACTGTGTAACCATTTTGACCAGATCGTCATTGCTCATATAATAGTCAAGAGGTACTCCCCACGACCAATTGAAACTGACGAATGGGTAATCGTATTTGTCCCAACTAATCTCGAATCCCTAAGAATACGATTCAAAAACATACAAAAGAAACTCGATGAATAAGCAATCATAGTGATAAATCCCTAAGATTAGAGATAAATCCAAAGACAACACAAGGAATCTACGCAACCCTAAGCTAAGCTTAGAGACAAATCGCAGATTAAAACTAACCTCGCTCCTTTCGAATTCGTAGTAAAATTGCTCGCGCTATCGTTCATATTCGGGATCCCATGGTCTATGTTTGCGGAATCTCCTTCCCGTGTACATAAACGTGTCAGGATCGCTGTCGGAGTCTGGAGCCGTATCCGCCTTCAGTTTCTTCGGCGGCGGAAGCACTATCTCACCGGACTCGATCGAATCTCCCTCGCCCTTTACAGCCATTATCGACGTCGAAACCCTAATTTTGCCTTTCCCTCTTCTGGTTCGTGAACAAAAGACAACAGTGTAATTATTATATCAACCTGATTATCTCTACTTGCTGAGTCAACCTTTGCCAAAGGACCAAAAATAATACTTTTTTCTTATAAAATACTCTAATGAAATATTATCTTCTTTTAAAAAATCAATCAGAAAAATATTAAATATACTTTTGACCACAAAATTCAAAGTTGTCACATTATCCAAAAAAATGCACTGCTCATACAAAAAAAAAATGCCTTCAAGAGAGATATTTTATAATCGGTTACCATTACCATGTGTTCTTAGCTAATATTTTAATAATTAATAATGGAAGATTGGGCAAAAAAAAGAAGAAGTAATGTTAGAAAGATCAGTTAATTCTGAAGTCTCAAATCTTTTTAAAGATTTATTTTTTTCTGTTAAAATAAGTATTATAATATTCTATTTCGAATCCATGACACTTTGAAGTTAAATGGACAGTAAATAAATTTAATCGTTTGTAAATTAAAATTTTATTGTTCATGATAATTTGTTTTAAAATTTGGGCTACGGTAGAAAAGGCTTCTGTAGTTTCTTGCGTAAACTTGGCGTTTATGTTATATAAATGTGTGTGTGTATCGGCGGATGTATATGTAGTGGTACATATATAATTTCAAACATAAAGAATGGAAGTGATAACAACACCATCAATTTTATAGAATAAAAAAATTATGAGTCCGATAATTAATTAAATCAAGTTGTAATAAAGAAAATTCGCCAAAAGAAAGGTTATAATCAACAAAATTTCACAAAATATAACTCTTGAACTGTTTGGTCAGCGATTCAAGAAAGTGTTTTCATTTCTTGATATTCTACACGCTCTTAATTTATATCAAAACAATATTTTTACTAAAAAATAAATATCAAATGAATATTTGCTATTTTTTTTTTATAAAAACGTTTAGTCGTCCATTTTTTCTCCCGACATCTTCCTCGTAACTTTAAGAATATTTGGTAACATTTTTTTCCACTTATTTTCAATTTCTTTTTATTTAATTTGTGTTTGATCGGTTGAAACAATTAAAAAAAACATTTTTCATCCTATTTTCTTAATCCTATAAATAAATAAATAGAATAAATGAAACCATGTAATGTTTATGCAATATATTTAAAACATATCGTTTTTCCCTGAAAAGAAATAGGGATCTACATATATATCGATATATATTAATTATGGATTAATTAGTTAGTAATGACATGTGATATTTTCAATATATTTAATTGATTTAACCAAATGATTAAAATAAAATTATATAAATATAAAGTATATGATCCATTAATATTCTGTATTGTTCGTACGAATGCATGGGGATGTAAAAGATATATTTTGGTACGGATCTGCGATTGTCTGTTTTGGACTCTTTTGTGAGGAACACAGGAAACACTCTAATTAATTATATATATTGTTTTTATCACAACGTTATTTTCTCTCTCTTTTTCTCTAAAGCAAAAAATTGGAATTAAAAAGAATTTTTTTGAACTGATTTAGATTTTTAACTATAATTATGATATATTTAGAATTAAAGAGTGAATTGATAGATTTATAAAAAAGAAATTATGGCAAGAAAAAGAAATTGTTTATCTAGTGTAAACACTGAAAAAACAAGTGTAAATCAAGAATATATAGTTGTATGATGGTTTATTATAATAAATCTCAAAAATATATAGAAAGAGACTAATTAAGAAGTGTTTTTAGTGGGAAATAAAAAAAAGATGGCATTTTAAAATTCTTCGTCCGTAAAATATAGTATATAGTTGTTTATTGTTTTAGTTATTTTTATTATTATGTGATGGAATTAAATAAAAATAGATAATAGTTGCACCAAACATATTGTATCAAATATAAAATTGAAACGAAATTTGTATTTTTCTAAAATATTTCAATTTTAATATTGTGTAAGTTTAATGAACCAATGCAGAATTGTTGACGTTTACTTTAGTTTAAAATTATCTTATTTTTGTTACAGGATTTTAAATCGTTTCAATTGTATATTATAAATTTAACCTTAATTTGTTTTCACTTTTCAAAAAGTTATCTTTTGCAATAAATTAAAATTAGGCTCTACCTTAATTAAAATTTCGTCACTGAAAAATCAATTAATACTTTCTCTCTCTATAGTATTTTAAAATAATAGTACAACACTAAATTTACATTATATTCCCTTGATTAAAACGAACCACTCAATCTCAATAATAATTTTTGATAATTTTATTTTTTCTATTATAATATAATATTCGAATTTAAATCCAAGATAAATTTTTTCTATTATAATCATCAGTTAAATAAACAAGGTAAATGTTATCTATGGAGGAGTAATATTGTCTATCATACCAGCATGAACAAAAACAAAAGGTATGCATAAGTACGTATGCGATTAATGTTTTGCACGCTTTAGCTATTGTTATAATCAACCAAATTTCACATTAATATAACTATTGGACTGTTTGGTCAGTGATTCAAGAAAGTGTTCTCATTTCTTGATATTCTACACTCTCTTAATTTATATCAAAATAATATTTTTACCAAAAAATAAATATCAAATGAATATTTGCTATTTTTTTTATAAAGACGTTTAGTGGTCTATTTTTTCTCCCGATATCTTCCTCGTAACTTTAAGAATATTTGTCAGGTAACATTTTTTTTCACTTATTTTCAATTGTTTTTATTTAATTTGTGTTTGATCGGTTGAAACAATTAAAAAAAACTTTTTCCATCATATTTTCTTAATTCCATAAATAAACTAATAGAATAAATGAAACCATGTAATGTTTGTGCAATATATTTAAAACATATCATTTTCCCCTGAAAAGAAATGGGGATCCACATATATATCGATATATATTAATTATGGGTTAATTAGTTAGTAATGACATATGATATTTTCAATATATTTAATTGATTTAACCAAATGATTAAAATAAAATTATATAAATATAAAATATATGATCCATTAATATTCTGTATTGATCGTACGAATGCATGGGGAAGCAAAAGATATATTTTGGTACGGATCTGCGATTGTCTGTTTTGGACCCTTTTGTGAGGAACAGAGGGAATACTCTCATTAATTATATATATATTGTTTTTATCCAACGTTATTTTCTCTCTCTTTTTCTCTAAAGCAAAAAATTAGAATTAAAAAGAATTTTTTTGAACTGATTTAGATTCTTAACTATTATTATGATATATTTAGAATTAAACAATGAATTGATAGATTTATAAAAAAAATTATGGTAAGAAATAGAAATTGTTTATCTAGTGTAAACACTGAAAAAACAAGTGTAAATCAAGAATATAATAGTTTATTATAATAAATCACAAAAATATATAGAAAGAGGCTAATTAAGAAGTTTTTTTTAGTGGGAAATAAAAAAATAGTATTTCAAAATTCTCTGTCCGTAAAATATAGTATATAGTTGTTTATTGTTTTAGTGTTTTTTATTATTTTGTGATGGAAATAAATATAAATAGATAATAGTTGCACCAAACATATTGCATCAAATATAAAATTGAAACGAAATTTGTATTTTTCAAAAATATTTCAATTTTAGTATTGTGTAAGTTTAATGAACCAATGCAGAATTGTTGACGTTTACTTTAGTTTAAAATTATCTTATTTTTGTAATAGGATTTTAAATCGTTTCAATTGTATATTATAAATTTAACCTTAATATGTTTTCACTTTTCAAAAAGTTATCTTTTGCAATAAATTAAAATTAGGCTCTACCTTAATTAAAACTCAAAAATCAATTGATACTTTCTCTCTCTATAGTATTT